GCTTCCATCTTTTCCCCACAAAGTTTTACCACTGTTTTCACAAGTAGCAGTTCTTGAGGTCTGAGCTAGACACTGCCTGATACAACACTTCCGGTTCATGCAGGCCATAAACTAGCATAAAAGTTAAGAGAACTAGTGAATGATATCTCTGCGCTAGGTAGACACTAGCTTTCATGCCGAGGGACAAGAAGCTGCTAAGCAGCAGTTTTTCTCCTAGGGGAATCGGTGTTGAGGAGTCGGAGATGGTCGAAGAGAAAAGTTTTTTAAAATGCCTTCCCTGAGAGATGGTAAGTGCAGAAACACCACGCTGACCCGAAGTTGTTGAGTGCAGCTCTTGGGCTTTATGTTAAGCTGACTTGAAACTTCAGAATCATGAACAATAGGTCAGGGTTTACTGAAACACAGATTGTGTGCGAAAAGAAAGAAAAAATAAACTGAAAGGAATAGTTAGGACCTTGTAAAATGTGAGCATGTATCAACTTCTTACTCCTGAGTGTTGGCCTAAAAATAGTTCTCCATGTACCTGTGAAGTGCAAAAGAGTGGAAGTTCACTGCTCCATGTTTGAAACTTAAGAGATGCCTGAGCTCAGACCCTGTGGCTGACAGTGGCCACCACGACCCCTTGCTGGGGTCCTAGTCTGGTCCTCCGTGGAAACTGCAGAACTAGAGTAGAAACATGGCTGCCAGCACAACGAACAGTGAGACTGCTGTGGAACGCCAGGGGTTTAGAGTCCACAGATAAGGCTGTTTTTAGAAAATGCCATTCTTTAAAATAATTTTCTTAAAGAAATCAAAGAGCCGTGGTAAAAAGCAGGTTTTTAGTTAGTCTACAGGCCACAGATGTGGAAGGGGGACTGAGGTGAGAAGGCAGACGGAAGACTGACGTCTGGAACTTCAATGGCACGGTTTTCACAGGAAGGCTGCGTTTGTGGATCGTTTAGGGGCTTTGAGACACCGGACAGCGCCCCCTCGAACCTAGTCAGTTCTTGGCGACTCCCTAACTGGAGGAAAAGGTTTCTGGTTGGAGAAAATGAAAGGGGCCCAAAATTAGTTTCCAGGCGCGCTCTCAGTTATCCACTTCCTCAAGCCATTCCTCTGCTTCCCTCTAGAGCAGGCGTCTGTCACACAGAAGCTAAGCCTGGGCAGGTGACTCAGAAAAGCCCCACCGTTCAGAGGGGGCGTTTGTGTGGAACAGGTTGTCCTGGGGAAGGAGCGCGGAGAACCCTCCCAGGACCCCCCCTCTGGTTGCTCCTTCAGCCGCTTGCTTCGGTCCCTTCCTTCCAGGCCCTTTCATGGCGGAACTCTCCCATGCTAAGTCACAGGGCGTGTGCTGACAGCTCCACCAGCGTGAAGCTGGTCTGAGAGAACCACCCACCCCGGTAAGAAGTGGAAGCGTGAGGTGCCGGGAGGTGAGTTCCCATGGTATCTCCGTCTCGCTTTTCCTGAATTTTGATCATGTAGGCCAAGGAAAGCAAACTCTTTGCTCAAGCTCATCTGATTCAGATTTCTATCACTTGTAACTTGATCTTCCAGCTCTTGTAGAAACTTGCATATAAACCACATTTGCCCTCAAACAAGGAGTTAAAACACTTCACCACAAGCATGCTAGTAAGAGTCTTTTGAATAAAAATTTATTTTTTAAATCAAATAACTACTTTCAAATACATCCTGTATGCAAATTCAAATATGTTTAGGTTTTAGATTTTTAAAATAATGCATCATTATCATATACAACTGGAAGGAAAAACAGTAGAAACAGTGTGGGCAGAAGTTGTTCCAGTTTTTCATATTCAATGTGAACAAACAGAACAATATTCTAATCACATAAAATTAAATATTTTATTTTAGATCATAAGACTATTAGGGCCCCTCTATTATACAGTAAAATGTAACCAAACATTTGCTTAAGTAATGAAAGAGTTAAGAAACCATTTGGGTTATAATGAGAGGAACATAAGTTATAAATCCGCAGGAAGGTTGGTATTTTCCAAATGAAATCCTGATAAAAGGCTAAACAGGCTCAAACATTTTCTATAAAAAATAAATCACTCCTGATTAACATGTTTTTGCTTCAGTGTCAGAAAAGCCACAACACATGTGGAACGTGTGTTAAGAGCCAGTTTTCTAGACGTGAGTTCCATAGTGCCGTCTATACGACATTTGTTCAGGAATGAGGCCAAAATTCTCCGAACTCGGCGTATCGAGGGGAGAGGTCCCTGCCAACGCTGACGCAGCTGGTTAGCAGGAGAGCTGCGGAGGAGCCTGGGACGGAAGGGCGAGCTCGCCACTCTGCGGCAGCAGACACAGGGCCCAGGAGTCTGGTTTTCAAAGAGCTCAGGGCAAGATGGCTGGTTCAAGCCTTTCTTCCTGAACTGGAGACTTCTCGACGGAGGTACTTGACATCCGTAAGCGGAGAGACAAAGACCTTCAGATGTAGTTTTGTTAGCTACCCAGCTGGAAAAGTCCTTAGTGGAGGGCCGAGACCAGCACGGAAGTCAGAATTCACGTTCCCTCTAAAGGACCACACACACAAACAGGCTGGCTTGTGAAGGGAATAGGAGAGGAGTCGGGCTGGAGTGTAAGCTCTTTTAAAAAAGATAAAAAGCAGGGCAGTGGAGAGAAGGTATGGAGGAACCTTCCGAGCGGTTTGTGCATGAACAGGAAATAAGGACTCAGGCCACTTGACATTCAGGGTTAGGAGCCTGTGCCTGAAGGGGTGATCTTCAGGACCTCGCTATGGCCAATTCCCCCACGTGCTAGACGCCAGGGAGTTTCGTCAGGCATCGTCTCCCTTCCGAGTGCTAATGCCGAATTTCCTCTATGCCAGGTGAGCTCAGGAGCTGTCACACGGCAGCCAGCCCCAGCCACTTACAGGCTCACAGATGTCCGGGAGAGCCGGGAAGGGTATGCTTGTATTTCTGGCTCCTGTGCTTTCAAATAGAATATATTTGATTAAACAGAGAACACAGTCCCGAACTCTCCTGGTCTCCATCTACGCCTGCAGTCCAGGCCACCAAGAGGAGAGTTCGTTGTTCCCGAGGCCGGGGAGGTGCGGGCTGGTACTTCGGAGGACTCCACTGCAGCCAGTGATGGCCCGGACCAAGTGACGGGCGGGTGCGGTCCACCCTCACTAGGAGGAATGTCACATGGAATGCTTTTGGCAGAGGACAGAAAGTCATCCAGCCGAATGTTATTTAAAAAATATTTTATCAGAATATAAGGTCACTTTGCGAATGTTAGTATTCGCTTTGAAACAGAACCGCGGACAGTGCTGTTTCCTTTTGTCGGAGCACATGTGCTCCATCCTCCTCCTGGCTCTCCCTAACCAAAGTTACGCTGCAAAGGTGGGTGTAACAGGAGGTCACTTCCCTCACTCTTTAATACTGGGGGCAATTGTTAAATGAACAGTATTTCCTGGAGAACCTTCTCTGAAAGGGAAAGAATATATTGATGAAGTATCTTTTGAGGCAGTTAAGACAACTTTGGATCTAGTTGAAAAAAAGATTATTTTTCACTTTGAAGCTGACACCACGAATGCCAAAGTACTTGATTTTCATACTTATCTGGAGCTCAGAATCTTTAAGCTACACAAATGTTCTCAAACAAGGTGATGACTTACAAAGTTTAGAAATGGCACCTGAAGGACAGAGGACAACTTAGTCACCACTGTGGATGGAAGAGTGATGATGGGTATCTTATTTACCAGTGTGATCCAAAGTCCCTATGTGGTTTTTCCACTGAACCAGGTATGCACAGATATGCGTATGCACAGATATGCACATGCACATGTGAGAAAGACAGGAAGGAGACATCTGATGTCATCATTTCTTGAATGCTTATTCTCTTTATGTGCAGGTCATTCAAGTAAGACGAGAACATGCATTTCCAAACACCGCCCCCCCCCCCCCCAGTTGTATCTAGTAATCTGTTTTAATTGCAGAGGTAAGGTCGCTATGAGAATGTCTTTAACAACCAAAGAAATCGACTCACATTAGGCTGATACCTGGGAGGACAGTTCTCTAATTTTCAAAGCCTATGACCTGAGCTTGTAATGGGTAAAGGCATCTTCATTAAAGCTATTTCTGAGCAGTACATACACTATCTATCTATCTCAGTATTGCTACAGACATTATACCATGTGCTTCCCTTGTATTGTGTAAAAAGTTGAAGGCCATTAGGGTGACGATCACACGTTCTGAAGTTGACTTCCATGCCGAGAGGGAGCATGTTTTCTAGGGAGACAATGTCATCCCTGGAGCATTATGAGAGCTCCATATCAGGAGGGAGAGGAGGAGGGGCTGAGTGAGGGGGAAGGAGCCTGAGGAAGTGGGCACAGCAGGATGTTGAGACCGTCTCCATCCTAATACTGATACTTCATTAGACAACAAGATTTTCCAGCTGGAAGGCGCATAACCAATAAGCGGAATAATAACCAAGATAATGCAAACTAAAAGAAAAAAATCTCTCTCTGGTGTCAAGTACAGTGTAGCATGAGGCTACCGACTGACTGGACTTGAAACACAACCTCTAACACAGGGACCGGCTGACATCAGGATCTGGGTCAGCAGGTGAAGAAGATGCGATGCTCTGGGTTTGGTTACCTTGATTCTTCAGCACTTAGTAAAGCTCCTGTGCCTTTACATGGAGACCCCAAATCCTTGATGAGACAGAAGATTTAAAATTGCAGAGGTATACACATATTTATTGTTACTATGTCCTGCAAGTTAGACTGAGTTCACTGGTCCAGGGGAGTGGAGTCCTCCTTGCTTTTTCCACCACTCAAGAGTTATAAAGTTAACTAAATAGAAGAGATGAAAGAAGCAGTTATGAAATTTCTCACTTCTTTGCCTTGGTTATATGTCGATCATTTGCATAAAATAAATAATGTGAATTAAATTTTAAAAATCAGCATTATAATTAGAAATGAGAAAAAAAAAAGTACAGCAAGAATCTGGTATTCTTAAGGCAGAACAATAGAATGCTCTTAAATAGACACTTTATTATATCCACAGGCGATAAAATCCCAGAGCTACTGTTAGGCACGTAAATACAGATCCTGGAAGAAAAAAAAAAATTGTGCACAGTATTAGTTCTATTAAAAGTTACTTGCAGGAACATCATTTTACTAAAAAAAAACACAGGCATTTATCCTCCAAGAAAGTAAAACCAAACCCAAGAAACCTGGCTTGCTCACTGATGTGCCACAGTCCACAAAACACCTTCCTATTAAAAAACCCCTCATTGGATATCATCATCTCCAAAGTACAAATGCGTTCAATATCCAAGGAAATTTCTCAATAAATGTAAAGAATCCCAAGAATTCTGTGGTCACAAAGTAAATGCACAGGTACCACAGAGGGACACATCCTTTAACTTCGTGAGCAAAATTCTACTTATAAATATTACTCTACTTCAATATATTGATCCAAAATGTTAAATTTGAGTTAAAATAATGGTTAAGTAATTTTTTTTTTTGATATGTGAATCTTTCCCTCTTTTGGCTCAAAAATTGCGAAAGCAAAAGAACTCCTTATAAGAAGTGTCACCCACTGAAGCAGAAAGATCACAACTCAACTGTGTGTAAAATATTCCATCTTGAATGTCACTGAAAATAATTCCCAATAACTACAGTCTGATGATAGCATCTCATCAAATTTAAGATGCCATGAGTAGTAATAAATAAAGTCATGCGCTTTACAAGGAAAGAAAAAAAATGACATTAATAGTATGATACTTTATCTACTGGAAACTGTAAGATGCCTTCTAATTTCAGAAATGTTAAAGCATGAAAAACATGCGCTAGAATCAATGAAATGCAATATCTGTCTGTGACTTAATTTATCCATTTATCTTGGGAATTCCCTAGTGGTCCAGTGGTCAGGACTCTGCATTTCCACCTCAAGGCACATGGGCTTGATCCCTGGTCAGGGAACTAAGATCGTGCATGGCTCGGCCAAAAAACTTTACAATTTTATTTATTTTACTTTCAGTTCATTTTAACTATCTAAATGTAAGATGGCTTACCTGCTAAATATTTAATATTATCAAGCTTGTGCGACTCAAGCATGGTTTTAAGGCCAGCAACCTCGGTGTCTATCTTCCTGTCTGTCTGCGTGACGGCCCGATCCTGCTGGGCATGCTTTTAAAACAAAGAGATTCACAGCATTAAACCATACTTGATTTGTTCCCTCTGCTGACAGTCCCCGAGTCCCTTCCTGGCAGAGTGCAGTCAAGGTACACCCATGGTCAGATTAAGGAGACCTGGGCTCTGGTCTTGAGTTCTACTAGCTTCACGCTATATTGTATTAGCCAGGGCCTTACCTATCTCTAGGCCTGTTTCCTTCAGTTTGAAACAAAGATAAAAGTAACACTGGCTCTGTCTTCACAAAGGCTGTTTAGAGAATCAAGTGCGATTACTGATGGAAGGAACCTTTTATAAATTATAGGCAGCTTTAAAAGTTTAGGAAGTTGGTGTGTTCTCAATAGCAATGAATATACCTCCTCCTTCTGAATTCCTCTCAATAAAAGGTATACAAAACATGCTTTAAAAAATGAATGGAATCTTAGGTAGGTAATCTAAAGGCAACAGTGCTTGCTGGACACTATTTCTATTTACATTTGTAAAAAGTTTTCTTCTTTTATAATTCAAATACCACGTGTTTTATTATGAGGCTTGGCTATACCAAGGGCCTATATGAGTTCTTTCCCAAATATAATAGTTAAACCAGATACATAGCTAACACCCAAAGGGTAGTGAGTTTGGCTGACGTTATAAAGGGTTTGTAACATTTCATTAATGTGAATGCGTAAAAGCATAGGAAATACTTCACTAAAAATCCCAGGGCAAGTAAGTAGTCCCCTGTGGTGAATAGTTCAGGTAATGAATAAGTAAATAAATGCATGGAGGAGTAAAATATTCCAGAGGATGAGTTTAGTATTCTTTCATGGAAGTCTCTTCCAGGTTTCAGAGGTCCCAGGTAATAAGGATGGAAAAGAAGTTATGCATGCCATAAATTAAAAATATAGTAAAAAAACCCCAACTCCATTCCTTATTTATTCTTCAATTAAAATAACTAAGTCCTTTGTTAAGTACCAAAAATATCCTGTGATACTCCACTTCTGGGCATGTATACCCAAAAGCATTAAAAACAGGGACTCCAACAGATATCCACCCGCCCACAGTTACAGCACTATTCACAATGGCCATAACGATAATCAAAATGAGGTATGTCCATAAAGGGAGTATTATTCAGCCTTAAAAAGGAAGGGGATTCTGACATATGCTACAACATGGATGGACCCTGAGGACATTAAGCTAAGCAAGATAAGCCAGTTACAAAAGGACAAATACTGCATGATTCCACTTACATGAGGGACCGAGAGCGGTCAAATTCATAGAGGCAGAAAATAGAATGATGGTAGCCAGCGGGAGGAAGAAGGAGCTAGTGCGTTTAATGGTTCTGCTAGGTGAAAAGTGAATCTTTCCTTACCAGTGACACCATTTCTGTTTTTATTTCCAGCAGCTTCCTTTCGTTTAACGAATACTGAAACAAACATGTAACACAGGTCAGATTCTGATTTATTCCTTTATTTATTCCTCTCCTCCTTCTCTGGTATCTTAAATATTCTGGTCTCAGGATTCCCAAGAATATGTACTATGAGTAGTCACCCCTAGGATAAAGCAGCCTCCCTGCCTTCTCCTTTTGATCTTTTTAAAAATCTTATTTATATTTACTCATTGCTTCAACATCTAGATTCCCTTTTGTCATCTTCTACCTCTCTCTCTGCTGGTTTTCTTTTTTTTTTTTTTTTGAAGGTTTCAAGTATACTTTATTTCTTCAAACATGCCATATTTTAATGGGTACATAGTACTTTCACTTGGCATCAATTATGAGTTGATTTTGAAACAATTCATATTAAACCAGCTGGGATGATTACTGTTCTCTCCATTCCTTTGGGGTGACTCTGCCAACAGGCGATGGGTTCCACTCTATTCCAATTTGTGTTGCCGTGTATACCCATACAGCAACACAGAAAGTGGCTCCACTAGCTAATACGGCATTACCATATTTGTCATGGAAATCAGGTGCCCGCTTCTGGTGGATCTGCCTTGCCACTGCTTGCTGAATGGTTTGAACTCTCAGACGACTTAGTGCGTTTTTGGCCAAGGGAAACATCCTGAGGTTGAACACAAAACGGCTGCAACTACAGCTGCTGGCCTCTATCAATTCGTCGTCTACTACCCTTGCAGACTCCTGAAATCTGCTGGTTTTCTTTTCATCTCTTTGCTGTGATGTCTCTAAGTCCCTCACACTATTGTAACAGCATTTCCTGGGACCAATTTAGACGGATGCTGAGTCATAGGCTTTTCAGCTTTGGGAGGCTTGAAAAAAGTAGGGTAACAATTCAATTTAGGAGCTATCCCATCTTAACTACAAACAAAATTGGCACTATTTGAAGCTTAGACAAAAGAGAAAAGATATAAAGTTGGGAAAAAATAATTTCAAGGATTATTATTCTGTGACATAGATGCTGCCTTCTGATTATAAAACACTATGTAAATACACAGATTCAAGAAATACACTAAGCCATCACATGCTGGTTTTAACTGAAAAAAACCAAAATACAAATTCATGTGGGCATTGTCACAATCCAATGTTACTAAGGGAATTGACTAGTTCTACTCAGAATTAAAATGATATCTTGCTTTTTTTGCTATTAATGACTGTGTAATTCTATCAACACTGAGACCAAAATCAGGAATGTTTCCTTAGGGGTAGGCATCTGGAGTTGCCTAAGCAAATAAAAATTAGTAACTTAAGTGAAGAATTAAAAAAATCCTCAATAAATTAACACTGTTGTTATAGGGGGAAAATTAATGCTTTTGAAGTCTCTAGAAACTTTCCAGGTATAAATGTCCCCCTATGACTGCCAGGGAGATAAGAGTATAAAAACAGCATTGCTTAGGAGTTAAAAAAAACCAACCACCCAAACCCCAAATCAAGAACTACTTGCAGGACCAAAGAATGCTCACCTCCAGGGTTTCAGAGAGAGCTATGCACCAGATTACCACCAGAGGGCAGGGTGGAATGGGATTTTCTGCATCCCTTAAAATTCCAGCCTTCACTAATACTGACTCAGCCACAAGAGAAAAGACTAAATCTGGACGCTGCCATGATTATAAAAGTAGCATCTATCTGGACCCACCTCCCTCTACCCCAAAGCAGATTATAGGCTATTCTGCATTTGAAACTGGCTCTAAGTATCACCACAGTCAATGCTGCTGGAACAGTATTCTAAGTGCATTAAACAAAAGAATGAGAGGGTTGGTGCATCTTCCTCGGTGCATGTTAAACTCATGCTAGTTGCAGACCCGTATACTGCTGTCCTGCACTTCAGAGTAATCTGAATTTAGGATTACCAAAAAGGACTTCTCAGCTAGGTTAATAAGTCACATAAATTCACTGATTTTAATCCATGCTCACAGCCCGCATCTCCCAATCTCTGAGATCTAGTTCTTCCTGACTTTGTTGCTACAGGCATCTTCCTACATCAAGTGGATTCAGAGTGCCTGCTAAGCCTATATACAACCATTAAGGGCAAAGGTAACCAAAGGAGTTTTTCTTCGTCTAGAAACTAGTCATATGCCAGTGATCATTATATATTTTAGCGATACTAAGTGATTTCCTCTTCATGGTTGAAAGTGTTTCAAGACTAGAAAGGCAAGTAACACTGGCATAATAATTATTTTGTACATCATATGGGGGAGCTTCCCTGGTAGCTCAGTGGTAAAGAACCTGCCAGCCAATGCAGGAGATGCAGGTTCAATCCCTGGGATGGGAAGATTCCATGCCTGGGAACTCCCATGGACAGAGAAACCTGGCGGGCTACAGTCCCTGGGGTTGCAAAATAGTCAGACATGACTTAGTGAGTAAACAACAACAGATATATGTCATATATATATATATCTCCCTTCTGCTTATTTACAACCCATACTTTGTGGTATCTTTTTGGTAATGAAAGTTTTACTTTTCAATTACTTTTCCTAACAGAAAATTTCAACTTAGCATAACTTAAAGAATCACTTAGAATTTGCATTTCAAAACAATGCAACAAAGTTCATTAAGATTTCTCTATTAAAAAAACATGCAAATATTTTTTAAACCTTAAATTTTTAATGTAGAATTTAACATTATTTAATATTTATAATTTAATATGATTCAAGTCAGATAATCAACTTAACTTCTGCAAAATCAGGACCAGTGGAGATTTAAGTTAATAGCAAAGAGATTAAGATAAAACTTAATTTATTCATGTCTAAGTGACAAATAGTTTAGTATCTCTGAAACAAACAAGATTCAAACTTGACTTGACCAAGATTTTAATTTTAATGTTACTTTTCAAAGTCCTAATCCGAAATACAGTTGAAATAAAGAAACACCATGTCTAACAATCACATACAGGTAAATATTTAACAGTACTTATGAATTGTAAATAACCTTAGACTTGACCAAATGTTCTGTCTTGCAAAGAAATTAATCCACATTCTATTTTTAAATAAAGAAACATACCAGTTCTTTCACTCTGCTCTTTTCTAGATTGAAGTCTAATTTGGTATCTGTTCGGACTTTGATCACTTCATCCTAGTAGGAGGGCAAACATCAAAGACAGAAAGAAATCCAAAGTGAGAGATCCAAAGCCTGTGCGGGTGTGAGCCTGGGTCCACTGCTCCACCGGAGGGGTCGAGGGTAGGGGCTGGGGTGTGCGGTGAAATGGAGCTGGAGATAAGGCAGGTCAAGAGACTGGTTAAGCCATGTCTGCAGGGACTTCCCGGTTATTTATAAAAATAATCCCCTTTCATGGTTAAGTCAGATCACAGTGGGTTACTGTTGCTTTTTACATCAAGATTCCCAAATCAATCGCCTTGTGGAATTTATGAATCAAGCTGTTCTCTGGACAACTTTGGAAAGCAGAGATGGACTCGAGTGAAATATCAGATTCTGGTTCAAATAAAGCTTTCTGACACTCATCAAAACCTTTTCTTATTTAACACCAATGTCTTTTCCACTTAAAAAATCAAGCAGCTGGCATTAGTCAGCATTTTAAAATCACTAATCATTTCTAATCATTTTTAAGATTAGAAAAATCTTATTTAAAAATGACTTCATTCCTTCTTGATCACAATTTTCTTAATGGATTTGGTTACAGACATCAGTAACTTATTCTTTGGCTATGTTCTCAGTTAAATCTTCCCATGTGTACTTTTGAGACACATTGCACAAATATTTAACACAGAAGTAATTTTTTAGGAACACATAAATATTTTGGACATTTATTACTGAATTTATGTAACTATAAACGAGCAAGCAAACAGGAATGAGGCTCTTACCATTACTTGCTGTTTTAACCGATGGAGCTCAAGTTTTATTTTCTAAAAAAAAAAACATTAAAAAGAAGTCAGTCAAGGATATGGTTGGAAGGTTAGAAGAAAAACATAAAACTTGGTTATAAACAAATATTACAACATGTGTTTATGAGCAAGTTCTTCAAGTGCTTTCCTCAATTCAACATGAATTTAGCTACGTTTAGAACACAACCGCAACTGATTAGTCTCAGAGGCAGAAATGATCATTGGTCATGCCAGGATGGTACTATAGACATGGCGTGTCTTGAGGGGTTTCAATTCATGTTGAAGGCCACATACAATTAGTAACACAACTGTCTTCAACAGTCTCATTTCCCTCCAGAGATGCTTAGTACCTCTTTCAAGTTTCCTTTTAACTAATTCTGCCCTCAAATAAATGACTTCAAGACAGTTTCAAACTTTATCTTTTTTTTCTAGCAAAAGAAGGAATCTTTTGCTAGATAGGTTCTTATAAAATCAAGAGCAACAGGTGATAAATGAACTTCCTTCATGGGACTCTAAATAGGACTGAAAACAAAAGGAAGACGTGAAGACAGCACCTATTTAAACACTGATCTCATACGCCCACATTTTAAGTAAGACATAAAGAGACATTTTACAGCTGCACTTATTCATAATAACCCTAAACTGGACACAATTCTAATATGCATCACAGTAGAATAATGTGGCATGTTCCTACAATACCATGAACAATGAAAGACAGTGATCTATTGCTGCAAGACACATTGTGATTCCATTGATAAGAGTTCTGGAAGAGCAAAACCAGTTAACGGCCATGTAAGCTGGGAGAGTGGGAGGAGTGACTGTGAGAGGAGTGACCAGACGCTGGAGACAGCAGGTCTTGGGGTGCCAGTCAGGGACTGCCTCTTCATCTGATAGTCCATACTGAAAATTCACTGAGGTGTACACTTCTTTGTACACTTTTGTGTATGCACATTATATCTCCATATCCTAATAGAAAAGCACTTGATAAATATGAGTGGCTCTTTAGTTTTACCTCATTTTCTGATCTGAGGGCTGAAAATTCACTCTTCTCCAAAATAATCATATCTTTCTTCACGTTAGCTATCTGAGACATTATTTGCTGAAGAGTGATCTCCTGGGAAAAGAAAAATGAAACATATAACCTTGTCTGGCCTAGGAAGTCCTCCTACCTCCTACCGTCTCAACCTGGGATCATCTTAATGAATAGAAAGAGGTTCAGCATGGTCCTCCTCTGTCTCAAAATGAGAAAAGAGTAAGAACTCAAGGCCAGTATCAGCACCAGATGAATCAGTTAAGAGTGGCAGTCAGAGGACCACCAGCTATAATTCCGGCCACATCTCCATTTATTAAAGCATTTTGTTGTCCAGTTGCTCAGTTGTGTCTGATTCTCTGCAACCCCACGGACTGCAGCATGCCAGGCTTCCCATCTCCCGGAGTTTACTCAAACTCACGTCCACTGCATAGTTGACTAGAAGAATTAGTTTTCAAACTTAATGATTCTATAGAAGTTGAAAAAATACCTCTGAATATATTTTATGCCGCGCTAGCCATTTGCCTCTTGTTTATATTAAAATTGCTATATGCTGGGACTTCCCTGGTGGCCCACAAGCTCAGTCTGCTCAAGAGCCCCAGCAGAGCTACCTGCTGCATCTTGGTGACCATATCTTTGTAGATGATATCCATGTTGGCCTCCACGATCTTGATCAAGGCAGATACAATGACCTCTGCTTGTTGAGTAGTGAACCCTAGGCAAACACACACAGACAATTACTCAGGAGGCGTAGTTGTCAGAATTAATGAAAAAAAAAATCCTTCATAGAAAGGGAGAAAATACAAAGTTACACATGCAGGTGAATGTCTGAATTCAGAAGCAGCTTTTAGCATGGCAAGAGGGTGGAGCCTAGCCACAGGCTGTGATGTGTCTGTCCCTTGGGACAAGTAGGACACATGAGTATGTACATGCGTGTTTCGTCACGTAAAATGAGGGATGGGGCGGACTGAGCCCTGACATCCCTCCGAGGGGTCAAAAACCATGTTTTCTGGGAACGTCTAATGACAGGAGATACCTGCTGTGCAAGGTCAAGTGAAGAGATACAAGACTCAAAAATACAGACATTATACAAGCTATCGCTTTTGTAATTTACGAAAGAGTCTAGGTAGCTGTTATTTTCTTCTGTGCTGTCTTAATTTTCTACAATGGAGATAATTTCCTTAATTTTAAATTGGTAAATTAGTATATATTAGTAAAAAATAATTACATTAAGTAGAGAAAGTGTGTTTATTTCTAGCACAAATTGGTCAAGTCAGTGGCTATATAACAGTAATTTAGCTGTTAATTTATTTAATGTTAAAAGATAAAATCAGTTCTTACATTTTTTTCCTCCACAATCTTCCTCAGTCACTAGTGAGGAAAGCCCAAATTGGAAAGCATATATTCTTTTATATTCAATAAATGATGCTGAACTGAATTACATGAAGACTCAACTTAGCACTGCTACTGTTTTTAATAACTTTAGGCACTAACATATTTCACATTGAAAATTCTAATTAAAATGCTTAATTTTAAATACTTAAGATGCATAAGTACCTGGTATATAATTCTTTTTGTTAAATACTTTCATCTATAAGAACTTCAGAAGAACGTACTGATTCTTAATAGTCCATGGCATATTTGTCTGGATAAAGTTATACCTGATTCAATCTGGATGAGATTAAGCATGGGGCCATATGGAAAAAGAACAAAGAAACAAATTCAAAGAAGACAAAAAGACCTCCAAAAACCTATTCTTTTCTCTTTATTCAAAATCTTTGTATTTTCAATGTGTGGGTCATGAACAGCTAGCAAAAAACATCACTCAAATGTTAACAGTTTAGCTCTGACACTGGGATTCAGGGTAGTTTTTCTTGGTTCTTTTCTGTTTTCCTAATTTTTAAAAAAAGCAACAAGTCTTTTGCAATTTTTAAAATTTATTAATAAGAGTTCATAATTAAACATAATTAGGCTTGGGGATTATAAAGAAAAGAAAAAGAGAAACCAAAGTGGACTTAATGCTGGTAAGAAAAGAGATAAACTTTACAGCCTTATAATTTAGAACCACCTACAGGAGGAGAAAGGATAAGAATAAGTTAAGCCTGACAACTTCTGGGATACAAGATGCAAATGAATTCTTTGTATTAATAGGAAAGAGAAGTGGGACAAAATCAGGGCCGGAGAGATTAAGGACAGAGGAAATTCTGTGCATCAGGAGACATAAACTCCAGAGGGGGAAAAAAAGGATAAAGGACAGAACATTCCCCAAGGGATCCTTCCTGGTCTTACCCTAACCCAGCCATCATCCAGGCAAGCACTTTCACATCCTACACCCAGTGGGGTCCTAACATCACTTCTTTTGAAAAAGGCAAATACAGGCCAGGGTTTTAAATCAAGAAAAGTAGGAAGTACATATGTTGAAACATTCAACATCTATTATTTTTAATTTGTCAAAAATAAATAAATGGATTCTAAAAGGTAGGAAGAGAAACAAACCCGACTTTTCATGGGAGAAAGGATTTGGGTCCACTGCAGCTACCCGGCCATAGTCATGCATAACAAAATGAATGACATTCTCTTAATATCATCAGACATCTAGTCCATGTAGAGATGCCCCTATTATCTCTGGAATGTCTTTTCTACAATTGGTTACTTCGAATACAAGAACAAAAGATCCATGAAAAAGAAAAAAGGAACGTAAAAGAAAAGTGAAAATTTTAGATGCCCCTCTTACTTCTACTTTTCTTTTTAAATTCTGAGTAGAAAGAAGTTGTGGTGGAAAAGGCTGACTGTTTCAAGTTTGAGAAGAAAAAAGCTGTAAAAATGATCACAGAGCATGTTGACAGTTTTCCCAACATGCATTCAAGGACATGACTTCACACTCACAAGGGCTCTCTGGAATCCTTAGTACACCCATGCTCCAAGCAGCTGGGAACTGAGAAGGGAGAAAGACTGTGAGGCCACGCAGGTGGAAGCTGGCAGAGCCTGAACCCAGAGCTGCTAACTAACCCATGGATGCATAGAAGGACCCACCCCATCACCGTGTTCTGGGCAGGTAAAGAACATCAACACAGGGCAGCTTTTCAGATATGAAGACGCACAACTAGATGGATGACTATACAATAGCACAGATTAATTTATTTCAAAGGCATAAGCTATGGTATCTGAGATTCTGAATTTGAGAGTCTATGTGTTCACGGTATAAAGAATTATCAGTATAATATGTATTCAATTTACACTGTGCATTTGTCTAGACAAGATTAAATATGAGACTGCTCCCTATATACTAAGTGTGCTTTCAATAGCTGCCATACATGTCGAAGTAATCTTTTATATTAGTTGGTTCAAAAGCATGAAGAGAAAATGTCAGTCTGAATATTTTTTTAAAACCACAGTAAGCTGAAATGATCAATAACTACTGCTCCGCAACATTTTAATTTCACGAAAAATTTTAGAGCACACGAGATGCACAGGAATAAAACTGTCCCTTCTGGCCTTAGACAGCTGTCCTAGAAGTTATTCCTCAGTTTTGCTGGCTTGTGTCTAATTTTTAACCTGTAATACTATACTTCTAGAGTGATGTTATGAACATACACTTCACTTGGACAAAGAGAAAATGGAGGAGAAAAGTCTCAGTTGTACTGATGAAGCAAAAATGCCCTAAAACAGCAAAAAACAAGGACTTAAAAAAATGGAGACGGATCCAAAGGCGACCTTGTAGGCTTCAAAGTCAAAGAGAAATATAAGAAATTAGGTAAGACCATGAGGAAGCCGTGAGGTAGTGTTTCCTGATGGCACGGAGTGACGACTGGCAGAGATTACCATTCTCCTCCAGCACACACACTAAGGCATGCGTGTCAAAGTAGCGCTTCCCGTTCCCGCAAGAGGTGAACTCTCTCCTTCTGCTGTCCAGCTGCAGGTTCCCAGCGCAGAGGCTCAGCTCTAGAAAGCAAAGGACACTGGGGTTCAAAACGGGACCTGACGGTAAACAAAAGCAGCTCAGCATCAGGAAAAAGCAAAAAACAAGGAACACCTCAAAAGCCTGTTTTTTAAACTAACAATGGCTTTATTGAGACACACCTCACATGCATACGACTCACCCATTTCCAATGCATACTTCAGTTGCTTTCAGTATATTTACAAAGCTGTGCAACTGACCCACAACTAACTTTAGAATACTTTCATCAATTCCAAAGAAATCCTAGACCCTCTAGCTACCTTCTCTAATTCCCTTACTCCATGCACTCCCCCCCACCTCGGCAATCCCTCAATCTATTTTCTGTCTCTAAGAATTTGCCCACTCTGGACATCTCATTTGAACAGAATCATTAGGTATATGATATCTGTGGCTGGTTTCTTTCACACAGAGTGGTATTTTCGAGGTTCACCCCACCATGTTCTATGTCAGTATCTTATTTCCTTTTATTGCCGAATATTTCAATGTACAGATATACCAGTTTTTTTTTAAATGGAGTCACCAGTTGAAGGACTAACTGTATGAAGGTTCTAATTTCTCCACATCCTCAACATTGTTATTATCTGTCTTTTTTAAAGATAATTATCCTAGTGGGTGTCAAGTGGTATCTCTCTGTAGTTTTGATTTGCATTTCCCTGACAGTTAATGACGCTGAACATCTTTTCATGTGCTTACTGGCCGTCTATCTTTGGAGAAATATAATTTCAGACCCTTTGCCCATTTTTAAAAAACTGGGCTATCTTTTCATTACTGAGAGGTTTTTTTTTAAAAATATATCTTAAGATACATATTCCTTATCAAATGTATAATTTGCAAATATTCTCATTCTGTGGATTGGCTTTTACTTCCTTGATGGTGCCTTTTGAAGCATAAAAAATTTTTATTTTAAGTAAGTCCAATTAATCTTTTTCTGTTGGTCCTTTTGCTTTTGGTGTCACATCTAAGAAGCCACTGGCTGATGTGAGCACAGAGATTTACATCTGTTTTCTAAGGGTCTTTGATCCATTTGAGACTTTTTGTATATGGTGTGAGATGGGGGTTCAACTTCATCCTTTCACATGTGGATGTCCAGTTGTCTCAGCGCTATTTTCTCCCTTAAATTGTCTTGTGACTCTCATCAAAGATTCAACCGATTTTAAGTGGGTGGGTTTATCTGTGGATCCTCCAGTCTATTCCATTGATCTATATGTTTGTCCATCCGCTAGTGCCCCATTTTCTTGATTACTTGTAGCTCTGTAATAAGCTTTGACACCAGGAAGTGAGTTCTCTTTGTTCTTTTTCAAGATTGCCTTGGCTATTTTGAGCCCATTGCATTTCCACATGAATTTTAGGATTATATTGTATCAATTTCTGCAAAGAAGCTACTTGGAACTGTGATAGAGACTGTGTTAAATCTGTAGGTCAATTTGGGGAAGTAGTGCCATCTTAAAAATATTAAAGTCTTCCAACCATGAACATGGGATGCCTATTTATTTAGATCTTTAATTCCTTTAATAACATTATATAGAAATTTCAGAATATAACTTTTGTTGTTGTTAAATTTAAGGATTTTATTCTTTTTGATGCTACTGTTACGGAAATTGTTCTTTAGATTTTTCAGACTGTTTACTGCTAGTAAATAAAAATACGACTGAGTTTTGTTTTTCTACAATTTGTATGTTGGTCTTGTGTCCTGCAATCTTGCTAAATTTGTGTATAAGGAATTTAATGAATTCCTTAGAGCTTTCCACGTACAAGGTCATGTCACCTGTGAATAGTGATAATTTACTTCTTTTACAATCTGGGTCCCTTTTAACTTTCTTGCTTAAGTGCCCTGGCTAGAACGTCTGATACAGTGTTCAGTCCGATAGTGAGAGCAGACATCCTTGTTCTTGACTTTGGGGGGAGAACAATCTGTCTTTCACCATTAAGTATGAAGTTCACTACGGGTGTTTCGGATGCGCTTAATCAGGTGAGGCAGGTCCTTTTGACCCGAATTGGTCATGTGTTCTTTAACACGAGCGGATTATGGATTTCATCAGATTCTTCGTCTTTTCCCATGATCACGTGGTTTCTCTCCTTTCCACGGTGAATGTGGTGTACTGCATGAGTTGATTTTCTGATGATTATGTGAACCTGCTGTTCTTGAGACGAAAGCTCACTTGGTCATGGTGTTGACTCCCTCTGACATATCGCTGGATTTGGTTTGCTAGTATTTTCGTAACAGATATTTGTAGTTTTCTTTTCTTGACTTTGTAAAAGTCTACCTTTGGGGAGACATGTTCTAACAATTCATATATTACCTGTTGTATGAATTTCTGTGTGTTTAACCACAGATCCAACCTGTTTTGCAAATTTGTTTCAAGATGCTCATTTGTTTTTTTTAAATTTTTTTGGCCAATCCTCATATGTGGGATGCTAGTTCCCTGACCAGGGATTGAACCTGCAGCCCCTCTACTTGAAGGGTGGAGTCCTAACCACTGGACCACCCAGGAAGTCTCTCAAGGTGCTCATTGGAAGGAGGTAGCATAGTAATGGTTTCCTGGCCTTTGTATTCCACAAGCTACAAAAATAGTTTTAAAAAGACATGGAACAACTGCAAAATGAACTTGTAATTTTTGTCAAGAAACGCCATTTAAATGTAATAGCTTCTTCTTCTTACAAGCATGCTGAAATTGACAGCAAAAGAAAAAGATGGACAATATAAAATAAAAATCTTTCGTTTAAATGTAATAAACATAGCTATATAAAAACCAGTCCATCCTAAAGGAAATCAGTCTTGAATATTCATTGGAAGGACTGATGCTGAAGCTGAAACTCCAATACTTTGGCCACCTGATGCGAAGAACTGACTCACTGAAAAGACCCTGATGCTGGGAATGATTGAAGGCAGGAGGAGAAGGGGACGACAGAGGATGACAGAGGTTGGATGGCATCAACCAACTTGATGGACATGAGTTTGAGTAAGCTCTAGGAGTTGGTGATGGACAGAGAAGCCTGGCGTGCTGCAGTCCGCGAGGTCGCGAAGAGTCAGACACGACTGAGTGACTGAACTGAACTGAATATGAAAACCTTACTACATCTTTGTTCTGACTTTTCTAAGATGCCAGGTGTTGTAGAAGAATGAGAGAAGACCGAATAGTCATCTACTAATTCAGAGTTCAACGGTTTTCTCAGTAGCTCTCCTAAACATACTTCAGCTGATCATCTCTTATTCTCAACCCCTAAACAGTTAAAGGAAATTCCAAGTAATCAAAAATGTGACATGGACAGGACCCTACAGATCTGATGCTTTTCGTAAGAGGGCAGCAGTGGTTCCCAAGTTACTGGAAAGAGTTGGGTGGCTGCAGCCACAGTCTGTACCAAGATAAGGACCAGGGAACCAATAATCACTTTGTACCAAGCACTGTTTGCAGACCAACAAAACATAAAATGCAGCAACTGCTGTATGTATGTGTGTGTCAAACAGTAAAAACAAAACAAAGAAACTTGAGAGTTGCTGAGATTCAAAGAAGCACTCGCCTACAGTATAAGGCCCTTGGTAAGGCACACAAAGCTCATCCTAATTTAGCCCACTCCCCCTTTCAGCTTTTGTTCTGGCCACCTAAGCTATTCTGATTTCTGCACTTTCAGACTCTGTACTCCATCCTTAAGCTTGGCTTGTCCCCCTTTCTCAACTGGTAAATTTTAAGCACCCCTTTTACCTCTCTTCATCTAATCTGACAATGTGATAAGCACCCATTATGTTCTGGGCAGGGCATTATGCTACCCTGTAAGGTTCTCTCTGCTAACTGCCCCCAGGTAAGGGAGCAGCCTGTATTCCTTCCTTATCTGTGTTCTCAGCCCAGGACAGACAACCCCATCATAGCACTTAACTACATTTATTTTCATGTCTGTATATCATTCCAAGCTCCCCAAGAGTGTCCAGTCAGTTATTTTTGTATCACTAGCATTTAGCAGAGGTCCTGGTACATTGCAGGCTAGAAATAACTTAACAAAAAACCCAACTGTATGAATTTTAAGATCCAGATCTGTCCACATAGAAAGTTTGAGATGAACTAATCTCTTCTTCACCTACTGTTTTCCCTTTTCACATAAGTGAGGTCACTTAAATCTGGCACCTCTTTTTTCATCCTTTAGTTCCAGCTCTGGGCAAAAATCAGCCTCTATGAGAAAAGACCCCAACACAGAACAGCCCGAGCTGGATGGCAGGTGAATGAATGAATGCACCTCTTACAGGGCTCTTTACAGCGCCCCCTCACCCATTTCAGAACCATGTTGGACTGTTCCATGGGTTAGAGAGCTTGAAAATATTTGTGACTAGAACTGGCTTGTGAAAAGTGATACAATTATTCTAGTCCCAAATTCCTTTTTCCTAATAACAGTAATCATTCATGTAATTCAAAACAATACTGCAAGCTTATTTTAAATAAATATTATCGGCTGAAAAATGGAGACAGCCTAGTCACGTGCCACTTGACCCTCCAACCCAGGCTGATGGAAGGTGAAGTCCATCTTGCCTTCATCACAGGGCAGGGCCTAGGGACACAGCAGTACTCTGGCACCAGAAGCAGCTCTGGGCCACCATTCCTTCTTTATTGTGACAACAAATTGAGGTCCGAGAACTATGAGTTCCCAGAATTAATAACCAGGAAACAAGGAAATTGAACTATGATATGTAATTCTCCTTTGGGGACCTTCAGCACATCAAAGGATACTGAAACACATACACAAAAGAAGCCCAAAGTTAGCCCTGGACAGAGGAAGAAAGCAAGCACAAAGTTCCTATTCACAAACCATCCTTAGGTCTAAGTAGCTCTATGGAGAATCCTGGACACCAAACAGACCGCTAGGCTGAAGACCAAGAAACAAAATTCTCATTAGCTGATGGTATCATGAGAGGAAAAGAAATCACAAGTTACTAGCTTGTCAAAAAAGGGCAACAAAAGGCAAAGTACAGAAATAAAGACACAATTACTGCAGCACACTGATAGCTGACCACTCATTTCCCAGTCTCCTACATAACTCGTCCTTCACGCTTTGCCCTACTAACCAGTTTCTTGCCCAGCCAAAGATATTCTTAAATTTCAGAAGCAACCAACACTTACCGAGCATTTCTGTTGAGGAAAACATTTTTTAAATAGCCATCAGTGTGGTTAGAGAGAGCCACTGATGTATATGTATAGATTCCCCAAAGTTAGACTTTTGCTAATTAATAACGATTACCCCAAATGATTTTTTTTTTTAATCAGCAGTTTTCAATCTAGTACACTGAGTCTGCTTAGACTTTCCTCAGCTCAAGCAGGGCAGTGATTGATCTCAGGTTCTCAAAGTATTTAATAAAATGCTAACTTCTCAATGAAGCTTATACCGAGGACTCCATTTAAATTAGTAACTGGAGAACCACTCCACTTCCCAACATTTACCCCCCTATATATTTTCCGATAGCATTAATCAGATGTTATTATATATATAATTATATATAAAATATATATGAAAATGAAAGTGAAGTCGCTCAGTCGTGTCCGACTCTTTGCAACCCCATGGACTGTAGCGTACCAGGCTCCTCGGTCCATGGGACTTTCCAGGCATGAATACTGGAGTGGGTTGCCATTTCCTTCTCCAGCGGATCTTCCCGACCCAGGGATCGGACCCGGGTCTCCCAAATTGTAGGCAGACTCTTTACTGTCTGAGCTAACGTTATTATATACATATAATCTCCTTTACTAGAATTAAGCTCCGAGAAGAAAAAGAGTTTTCTGACCGATACACCCTGAGTACCTAGGAAAATGCCAGGCAGAGTAATGAACCCAAACGAGGGTCTAAAATTAAACTGCGAAGCAATCCCTTAGTCTCCCATCTTTCGCGCCTCCCATCACAAGCCTGCTGCACCCGACCCGGGGGATCTGCAGAGTTATGCACCCGCTTCCCGCAGCCATCAGTCTCTGCCTGCGCCAGACACTGGGCGCCCGCCTCCCGGAGGGTACGGACCTTCCCGTCTGGGGAAGCCCAGGCTAGCCCCGCGGCCCAGACGGCGGGAGGAGACAGTCCCCACGCCCGGGAGGAGCCCGGCGACCTCGGCCGGCCCGCCCAGCTCCCGCCGCCCCGCCCCGGCCCTCACCTCTCCTGGAGGACGCCAGGGCGGCCACCCGGCCGAGGCACCGGGGGAGCGCGCCCGCCGCACCCGTGAGGCCCGGGGCCAGGCCCGGCTGGCTTCTCCACACGCCGCTGCGCCCGGCCGGGGGTCCCGGGGGTGCCGGAGGCCCGGCGCGCGGGCGCTCCCAGTCCGCCGGCGGCCGACGCGGGGCCGCGGCCGCCCGGCGCGGGCAGGGCACCAGAAGGAGGAGGAGCAGCGGGGAGGCACGTGCCGCGCCGCAGCGGGCCGCCTGAGCGCCGGGGCGCAGCGCCCCTAGACCGCAGGGGAGCGCGGGCAGGAGGCGGCGCGCGGGGATTCCGCGGCCGCCCGGGCCTCCAGCGCGGCCGGCGGCCAGGAGGAGCAGGAGCCGCCGGCGGCCGGACGGGCGCTTCGGCCTCTCGGCCGCGACGGAGCCGCAGTCCATCCCCGACTCGGTCACTGGCCCGGGAGTACGCTCATGCCGGTCACGCGCGGCCCCCGCCCGACACCTACGGCAGAAGCGAGCACCCGCAGCGGCGCCGAGCCCGCCCTTTCCTGCCCGCCGGGCGAGGCAAGGGGCCCACGCCGGGGGCGGGGCTGGGCGGAGAGGCGGGGCTCGGGGCCCGCTCCGGGGGGCGGGGCTGGGCGGGGAGGCGGAGCTCTGGGCGCCCCGGGGGCGGTTCTGGCCGGAGAGTCGGGGCTCCGGGAGCGCTGGGGGCGGGGCTGGGTGGGTAGGCGGGGCTCCAGGCCCGCGCCGGGGGCGGGGCAGAGCAGGGGGCGGGGGCTCCGGGCCGCGTTGGCGGCGGGGGCGGGCTCGTCTACCGGAGCCAGCACCCGAAGAGAGGCGAGTCTTCAGTTCAGTCGCTCAGGCGTGTCCGACTCTGCGACCCCATGGACTGCAGCATGCCAGGCTTCCCTGTCCATCACCAACTCCCGGAGTTTACTCAAACTCATGCCCATTGAGTCGGTGATGCCATCCAACCATCTCATCCTCTGTCGTCCCCTTCTCCTGCCTTCAGTCATTCCCAGCATCAGGGTCTTTTCCAATGAGTCGGTTCTTCGCATCAGGTGGCCAAAGTATAGGAGTTTCAGCTTCAGCATCAGTCCTTCCAATGAATATTCAGGACTGATTTCCTTTAGGATGGACTGGTTGGATCTGGTTGCTGTCCAAGAGACTCTCTAGAGCTTTCTCCAACACCACAGTTCAGAGCCTGGTACAGATCAAACCCGCATCCTGCTTCGTGATGGCGACCGGGGAGACCAGGAGGTGGTCGTGGGCCTTCACAGAGCTGGAATGAACTCGGAGCAGCCACGATTTGCATATTTATTACACTGATGTCCTTATAAAGACGTTAATTAGCCTGGGGCCCTTTAGAATCTCGTGGAAAGTCCACCGAGCTGCCCTGAGTTTTCCTGACTTTCCTGGTCCGAAGTCCCTCAGAGTGTAGCCGCGCGAGTGCATTTTAAAGATTATTAACAGGGTCGAGGGTGTAGCACTTAAGGTAGGCAACGCATTTAAATCTAAACTTTCAGAGCTTTTGTTTCCGGATTAGTGGATCGAGTGAGAAAGTCTCAATCTGGGAATTTAAAACGTGGGGGTTTGAGTGTTAAATGAAACCTACTGGTATAAAAGGATATCTGATACTGGCAGTGTTCAGTTCAGTGAGCTTTTTGAATGCCCGCTTCACCTGTCTCAGTTACTGGTCCATTGTGTGAACTCAGAGGTGTTCCTTGGACGAAGGAATGAAATGCCCAAGGCACTAGCCTAGGAGATACAAAAAAAAAAAAAAGAGAGAGAGATTGAAACCAACATTTTTATTTATATAAATCAATAAACTGTTTTTGTTTAAACCAGATAGAGTAAGGTTTCCTGTCTCTTATCCTAACACAGAAATCTTAATAAATGGATAGACTAGATACAGGGATTAAAAGGCCAAATGAAAAAGAAGTATCTACAAATTAAGGCTTCAGCCAGGGACCAGACAACCCTCAGGGCTCAGAACTTTCTGACAAAGTTGGATTGGAGAATATGTTTGGACATGGGGCCCTCCTTCTGTCTCCCCGCAACTGGACCTGGGGACTTCCATGAGCCAATTTGGGTTCACGGAGCAGATGCTCTGAGACCCACCAGCTGTGAGATCTCTAGGCAGGCCGCGCACACTCCGAGGTCACCGAGGGGAAAGGAGTGAAGGATGGCAGGCTGTCCCTGGAGGCCCAGGGCCTGGCCAGTGTGTGCTTACCATGTAGTGACCTGAAGGTGACGTCTCTGTAATGTAACTACAGAGTAAAGGGGTAGGGATAAAGAGATCTTTGTGGTGGTGAGTTTTCTGCATTGCACTTGAAGTGCTAAAATACTGATTCTAAATAGATTTAGAAAAGTTAAAAAATAATCCCTAAAGTAATCTATAAACATATTATCTGAAGAGATATAGTCCAAACACACAATAGGTAAAATGTAATAATAAAAAATATTCAAATAACCCAAAAATACAGCAAAGAAAAAATAGATAAAAAACCAGAGGAAACAAACTGAAAGCAAAGAGTAAAATGGTAGACCCAAATTCAAATATAGTAATCATCATATGAAATGTAAATGGTCTATACCAGAGAAAATCAAGATAATATACAGTTAAGTAAAATATGGTTTATCCCTTTTCCTTCTGAAGGGTAGCAAAATACGCCACCCCAAAATATACCACTTTGGCATGAAGGTTATATTGAACTGAAGGCTGTTGAAAAAAAGTTGATACAAGAAAATCTCTCTACTCTCCCTCATTTTGGCCTAAAAGCAGGACATAAGTTTGTAAAGGGTGTCCCCCTTCCTTCTCTACTGTGAAGGGCAGAACAGTTCTCCAGAGAGAACTGTTAGTAGCCCAGAGACAACATCTGAGGAATCTATATGATCAACTCACTCAGACTAGCCCTTATCTACCATTACTTTCCATATATTGACCTTGCCACAATTTGCTGCCCTAGATGTTCAAAGTCCTTTTCTCTGCAAAGTTATTGTTCTTTGCTAAGATGCTATGTAAGTCCAAGTTCTGACCACTCCTTAGTGTTACTCCTCTCTGAGTACTCCCATGTGTATGTTTTTCCTACGTGTTAATAAGCCTGTCTGTTTTTCTCTTGTAAATCTATCTTTTTAATCAGCCTATGATTAGGGCTGATTAAATCAGGGCTCTAGCCTATGACTCTAAGATGGAAAAACAATTTTTCTTTCCTTACACTTGACAGATATACTTTCAGACTGGAAAAATAGAAAATGTGTAAAACTTTTGATTTTTCATGGTTTTGCACAGTTTTTACATAATTGAAACTTGGCAAAATATTAAAGATGATGAATGTAATTATCATTGGGCACATTTGAGTGTTCTGTTCCTGAACCAGTGATGTTTATATGAGTACTGAAACACTTTCCTACTCTATACATTTTTACCTACTCTATAAAATTAATTTTTCTTTCCTTCATTTCAACAAAATCAAATTATCTTGGTATAGTGGAGACTTTCACATAGTTCGTTTTCTAGGATAGGAAAGATCTAAAGAATTAAAAAGCGAAATGTACTCAAACTGAACAAAAGCTGAATGATTTACATCAAAAACATAAGGTAAATGCAAAAAATGTAAAAGTAGATTGCTCTGATAATTTATATATTTTTTTCGAAAATACTGGAATTGCTCTTTTAAAAGAAAAATAATTACAATTAAAAATCAAAATTTTATTTCAAAGTTAAAGTTGCCAGTTTATTTAATTTGTATACATTTGAATACAATCACGTAAATCTTTTTGTATTGAAAAACTATTTGCAGTTTTAGTTTTTAATGTCCACATAGTTACCAGTGTAAAGAATTAGAATCATGCCTCACATATGTTGTATCTTGTGTGTATGTGTGTATACACTTAACAATAATGTGTGAGTTGTTTACTATTGCAAAATAGTAAATTCCTTAGACACCATGTGCAACAGTTGTGAATAATGTCAATCAAAAATGAAAAAACCCAGAAAGCTTGCATCTACATCTGACACCATGTAATGTCAACCAAAAAAACTGAGAAAGGCTGGAAATAAAAGGTTTTTTTTTTTTTTGCTATATTCAAAATTGCAATTTGGCAGACACTTTTTAAGGTAACACCAAATGAGTGTTCCAAGGAAGAGAGTCGGAGGCTTATAAAGGCAAGAGCCACAAGGCTGTATGCTAATACAAGAAAGGAAATATTTGCCTGAAGTTATTTTAAGGTTGGGCTTCCCTGGTGGTTCAGATGGTAAAGAATCCGCCCGCAATGCAGGAGACCAGGATTCCATCTCTGGGCTTGAAAGATCCCCAGGAGAAGGAAATGGCAACACACTCCAGTATTCTTTTCTGAAGAATCCCGTGGACAGAGGAGCCTGGTGGGCTACAGTCCATGGGGCTGCACAGAGTCGGACATGACTGAAGCGACTTAGCATTCACACACACATACTTAATGTAGGCAGCCCTAACCAGACCTTCAGTTTGCTTGTATGGTCTCGCCTTACATCTTTACTGATTTTCCTGTGAGACCTGTTTGTCTTGATGTCTGCACTTCAGTTTGAGAGTGTAGTTCTTGGGCTCTATATACTTGGCCATAGCCTGAAGCTGTAACACTCATGGGAGAGAGTTCAGCTGCTATTGCCTCCTGCCTTTCTTAGAGATATTGTACTCTCAAATCTTTCTGAGATCTTATTAAGTATCTTGCAATAGCCTTTATGTCACCATAATGGGCTAGATGATGAGGAAGAGGTAACAGAGGAGTAATTCTATTTCCATTAGAAGCAAAAATTTCCCGGAGTGTATGTTTCTGTTAGAATGAGTCAGTCACACCTGGCTATGCAAGCTCTCATTTTACCTGCCTTCCCTCAATAGCTGGAAAATAACATTTTTGGAAGATTAGTTTTGCATCAGTAGTCAAGATGGATTGGAATGGAGGAGACTGGACTCAGGGAGATTAAAGAAATAACTCTTATGGTAATGTTGGGAAGAAGTGAATTAGGTTGAAGTGCTGAGTATATATAAAGAGTAATATATATATGTTATTCTAGAAGCACATGTATTAAAATATTTAACAATGATTATTTCTGAAAGGGGGTTTATAGATGCATTTATTTTTCTTTGTACTTTGTTTTTTAGATTTTCTACAAATGAACATGTATTGCTTTTATAATAGAGAAGAAGCTGCAAAAAGGAAATATTATAGCATACAATACTATCTTTTATTCAAATTGCCATGAAAAATTATTAAAAAGTTCCATTTTAAATCTTGACCAGAGAAACTTCAGTGATTTGTGCATTTCACATGTGGCTGGTCCAAACTGAGAAGAGCTGTAAGTGTAAAATATAAAATGAATTTCAAAGACTTACTGCAAAAAAAAAAAGAAGAATACAAAATACCTCCTGTATTTTTAGACATTGATTACATGTTGAAAT